CATTCCAAGTGACCGTGGCACCAGATGAGCTGGAATCAGTGCAACAAGCCCAGCAGGAGCCCATGCCACCTACCACCAATCCTTCGTCCCCATCATCTGTAATTGTGACCTCTCCCTGCACTCACCCAAAGGGCAGCAGCACTCCCTTGGTATGCTTCTGCCCTAGCGAGGAGGGAACTGATGCCTGTGTGCATCATCTGCTCCCTATATGGAGTTGGTGCTGGTGCCCTGATATTCAGCCTGCATTCTGTTTCTGTGCTGGTGCCTGACCTGACCCCTGCAGTCATGGAGGAGGGCTTGTGTGCCCACTGATGTTGCCAACTGGTTGTGATGTGCTGTGTTTTGATACTGTGGATTTTTTCTCTCTCACTCTCTTTCTCTCTCTCTCTCTTTTTTTTTTTTTTTTTTTTAAGTTAAATATATTCTATTGCTGTACAGCTGGAATGAAACACATTCTCTTTACGTAGCCAAGAGAAACTCTACCAGGCCTGAATTTAGATGAGATTTCTTCCCATGGGGCAGCAGAGGCCTGACTGGAGTCCTCATTTCAGTGTGGCCATCCCTGCGCTGCTGAGACAGTGAGAGCAAAGCCCACCCTGTAGCTGGAGGGGTGCTGTCTCACCTCGGTCTTTTCCGCAACCTTTGCACTTTGAAACGACTCTGGTCACATTCCCATATGTGAGCCAGTGCCACTGGGCAGGTGGGCTCTGGGGAGGGTATGAAGTTATCATGGTGGGGTTGCATGGGGTCCCTGCCGGGTGTGTCAGCTACCTGCAGGCTTAACTGGGGAGTTCTGCTTGGACGAGGTCCCACAGGGCTGACAGCCCGCCAAAATGGAACTGGGTATTTTGACTGAGCAGTCCCTTTCTGGATGCCACTATCCAAGAGCAGCAGTGACCGTTCCCTTTACTCCACACCAGGCACATTGCACACACCGGTCAGGACATGGAAACCAGCCCCCTCCCAAACACAGGAACCTTCTCGGGCTGCTGGACCCCACCAGCACCAATCCAGACATGTTCATGGTGACAATTATCACCTGGAATTGATCTCCACAGCTGGAGCTCACCTGGGGGCAAAATAGGATTAGCGCAGGTTGTGTACTTGCTAATCTCATAAACCTTACAGTCAAGCTGTTCAAATATGCATATGAACCCTAATAAAGCCATGAGAGGAGAAAAAAAACGATCCCAGAAATGATATTGCACTCACAGTACGCCTTGGAGAGAGTTTGCGAGGGAGAATCAGAGCGCTGTGGAGGAGGACGGAGGCTGCCAGCCCAGCGGGAGCTCCGCGTGACGCCGCGGGAGCAGCGGCGGTGCTGCGGCGCCACCTCGCGGGCTGCAGCCGTGCAGCGCCGCGCGCCCCGCAACCACGGCGGGAAGAGGAGAGCTGTGCCGTGTGTTCTGGAGCAGCCTTGATAGTATGCAAAGCCGCAGGATGTGAAGCCCGGGTGACCTCATCTGCTGCCCTACAGCCTGCGTCACACAGGTCTCCCATTGAGGTCCTTCACACGCTGACCCTCACGTGTACATGCAGTTTCCAGACCATCTAAAATAAATACGACTTAAAAAATGAAACTAGTGAAGAGGTTCTGGGGAAAATGAGCCAGGAGGCTCCTGCTTAACATCTGTTCTGAGACATGAGAGCTGGAGCACCTCCCCTACCGGGACAGGTTGACAGAGTTGAGGCTCTTCAGCCTGGAGAAGGCTCTGGGGGGACCTGAGAGCAGCCTCTCAGTGCCTGAAAGAGCCTACAGGGAAGTGGGGAGGGACTTTCCTAAGGTCACATAGCTACGGGGTGAGGGGAAACGGCTATAAACTGGAATAGGGTGGATTTAGACTAGATATTAGGAGGACATTTTTTATTGTGAGGGTGGTGAGATGCTGGCACAGGCTGCCCAGAGGCTGTGGATGCTCCTCCCTGCAGGCGTTCAAAGGCCAGGCTGGATGGGGCTGTGAGCAGCCTGGTCAGAGGGAGGCGTCCCTGCCTATAGCAGGGTTGGAATGAGGTGGTCTTAAAGGTCCCTTCCAACACAAACCATTCTGTGATTCTGTGCTGAGAGGAAAGCAGCATATTGCATCACTTTTCCTCTCATCCACACACTCTCTACTGACTTTCCATTTTCATTGGCTTATACTGCTTCCACAGCAGGGAAGAAAGCTCATGGAGACAAGGCCAATGGTCCAAAGGTCCCAGGATCACAGTAAAATGACAAAAGGTCACTGACTTAAAAGTAATGGGATGGAATTCAAAGGTCACCACGTCAAGGGTCAAATGCCAAAATGCGAAAAGGTCATGGTGCCAAGGTCAAAAAACCTGAGTCAGTGTCAGAAGCTTAAGAAGTAAATCAGGCAAAGGTCTAAGATCAAAAGATGGCAGATCAAGGTCAGAGATCTAAATGGCAGAGTCAAGGACAAAAGGTCAAATGTCAAGCAGCACATGCCAGGCTGTAGCAAAAAAGGACTGAGGTAGGAAAAAGGATTGGAATTATACCTTTCACAGTGTGAGGGAGAGCTTTCCTACCTTGCATAGGATTCCCTGGGGAGACAGTATCTTGTGCAAGCATTTGCAGAAAACTTAGCTGGTGAGCGTTAGATCTCTCCGGAGACTGAATACATGCCAGCCCAGACACTGTGCTGCAACAGCACCACCTAGCTGCATTCTCGGAAAGAAAGCAAGGGAAGGAAAACTGGGCTGGGAGCAAGCTCCCGTTGCCGCAGGAAGGCTGCAGGCAGGCACTGGATACCTCTGGGTTTCCCTGAGGTTACTCCTGAGGAACAGGGGCTGATTTTTCCTCAGAATAGCCTATTTGTGATAAGGAATTACCCTATCTCAAAGGCAAGAGCTCACCGGAACCTTCCAGAAGGGAGCAATCTCCAAACAGAGGTGTTTCTTTCTCAGCTGCTGGCACTTAAGTGAGGTTAGGGAGGGGGTGGATCCAGTCTCACAGGTGGATTAATTGCTTGCACCTGTGCTCCCAGGCCTAGCCACGCCTCTACAACAGATGTTCAATCACTGCCATGACCTACCAGTTCCCATACAGAGTTCAATGAGCAAACACAGTAAGGTGCCAGAACCACCACCACAAAAAGACTGAACACGTACAAGGAGGCAGAAGCCCATGTTAATGATCCAGGGGGAGGTATTGAACACGCACGTACTGCTCGGGAAAACCTTTGCGTAAGAAAGATCTTTTGTATCAGGGATGTGCAATTAGGTGGAAGGATCCCCCTGTGCACCTAGTGCCAAGAATAAAGAATGCCTGCTTCCAAACAGTCCAATTTGAGACTTAAGAGCGTTTCATGACCAAGCAGCTTACAGTATCAAGCCAATCTGTGCCAACTGTGCTATTCTAATCGTGCCAGGCTGACCCAACCCAACATGCCCTGTGCTGGGTCAAGCTGCCCTATCTGAGCCAACTCACCCCAGGCCAACCATTTCCAACTGAAGCCGTGGCAGGGCAGGCTGGCACAGTGAGGTAGATCCTACCAGCTGCCTTCTACCCTCCTATCATTATTCTGCCTCTGAGGCAGCTATCTTCTTTGAAAGTACCTATTTCGCTCCTGATCAAAATTCTGTTTCACTTCTGATTCTCCATCCCCTTCTACTTCTGGTTATACTCTTGGTTATACCCCCGCTTCCAGTTCCAAATCCTCTTCTGCTTTCACTTCTACTTTTGATCCCACTTTAGCATTCACTTCTGGGTCTACTTCCATTGCCAGTTTCTCATATACTTCTAGTTCCACTTCTGGTTTCAGTCATGCTTTTACTTCAAAGAAGAGCGCTTATACTAAGGCTAAGTAAAAATGGAACCAGAAGTAAAAGTGGAAAAGGGAAGAAACTGGAATTGTAAGCAAAACCGTATCCACACGTGGAACCAGAAGTTGAACAAAATGAGATCAGAAGTTAAATAGACAAAATCAAAGAAGAGGGTTGCTTCTGAGGCAAAAGAGAACTGCTAAGGAAAAATGTGACCAGAAGTGGAAAAGGAAGGTGAACCAGAAGTCAAATCAGAAGTGTAATTGTAACCAGAAGTAAAATTGTAACTGAAAGTAGAAATGCAATGGGGGAGGTGGGGGTGGTACCATATCTGGAAATCAAAATAAAAGCATAGCCAGAAATTGAACAAACGTGTGATAAGAAGTAGGAACTTTCAAAGACAGCTGCTCCTAAAGCATAAGACTACAATGCAGGCAGAAAGTCACTAAAAGTGGAAAGAAGGGGGCTGCTACATAAGCAGAAGCAGAAAAAAATGAAATGTGACCAGCAGTTAAAGGGAAACTGTAACTGAAAGTTCAAATGGAAACAGAAGAAATAATGGAAGTAGATGTGTAACCAGAAATGCAGTGAATATTAATCAGAAGCAAAATATAAACTCTCTAGTGGCTTTCCATTTTAACTGGCTTGTGCTGCCTCCATAGCAGGCAAGAACGATCACGGGGGTCAATGCCAAACATCAAAAGGTCCCAGCTCAAGCAACTGTGGACACAGGAGATGCACCTTGTTTCAATCAGTAGATATAATTTGTAATGAGAAACACAACTCCATGCCCACTTTGTTTGGATAGACTGTTCATTGCACAGCTGGCCATTCTGAGACTCAAAACTCTTCTCTGCTGAGTACAGTTAACATTTGCTTGCATAAAAAACAAACAGGAAAAAAAAAATAAAAGGGACAGGGGAGAGAAGTAACTCTTCAGCACCTGCCATATTACCCCAGAAAATGAAACCGTGTTTGCTATCACTCCTATTTAGACTTTTGAAGATTCTGTTTGATCACATTGTTTGTTCTGCTGCAGGCTGAAATATGTCATAAATCCTAATAAGGAAAGCTACTTTATTGACTTAGGTTGAGGTACAAAGACACATTCTTACAATTGCTTTTTCTTCTCGGATCTAGTCAGTGTATTATACGAAGATGCCAAAAACGCTGGTGAGAAGTGCATATTTCTGACTTCAAAAACAATATAAAATTATTAAAGATGTGTATGGCAGCAATTAGTAACCCGTGTGTTTAAGAACATTATTTATTTGTTTTTATAAAGAACCTTATCTTTAAACAAATTAAAAATACATTGAAAAGTCTCTATATATACACACAATACACGTTCAAACTTCATTTCAATGCGATGCCATGGTTCAAGCAGAAAAACAAAGCTCTTTTTCACAAACCCAGTTGCATTACAACCATCTTCTTCAGTACAGCAAACCATGCTGCCAGGTCCTTCCAAGAATACTTCATTTGTTATTAATCACCTGAACTGTTTTTCGGCCATAGTGGTAATAGCTATACGCAGATGTTACCGTTGTGAAAGCTGTGATGCACCTTTGAAGAAAACAGCTCCTGTAAGCCATCTGAGTTCAAGCACAACAGTAAACATTAACACTTGTTTGAGAGAAGACAACAAGTCTGCTTCCATATCTGTAGCCTCCATAATTGTTACTGGCATAAGAACTGACTGATGTGAGAAACTATCACTTTGCAGCACGAAGGGATTGTTAAAAAAAAAATACAGAAGACTTGAACTTATTTTAAGAAGTTCCACAGCTAAAGCACAAGTGTTGGCTTCAGCCTCTTTTGCTCTTTTCTCAGACATTATGTAATAACCATCATTTATTTCCAAATTAGCAGCACTGCTCTGTGTCAAAGGCTGACACCATTCAGGTGGGAGTCAGTAACAGCCCTCTGTCAACACACTGCCAGGCTCATCTATCCTATTTTTAGGTACAGTCGCACAGCACCCAGCTAAGTCACACCCAGCACTACTAACAACACGCTAACTCTCACAGAGAATAGCAAGGTGTGTCTTTCACACATGCAGTTCCAGGTTTAGCTTTCCAACAGGGTGAAAAACACATTTGGCTGTTAAGATACAGGTTCCTTATTCCTTAAAAAGCTTTAGTGACTTTTTTTTTTTTTAAAAGGCACGCAATACTGGATCTTCTACTACCTTAAACTCGGTTACTAAGTAATTCTGCTACTGCAGTTCAGTCTCTTGGTTGTGAACTCTTACCTAACACCTTAGGAGAAATATTGCCACTTGTAACACCTGCTGTCAGCTACAATTAGCTGTTCAGGTCTCCAGTGATGGCAGTGATACCCAAGGTGGGCATTTCAAGTGCACTGCAGTAGGGCTGTTTTCATTTGATGCCTCCCCTTCCTTCCCATAGTTTAGGAGGAATTGCTGATATTTAAAAATGCTTCAGAAATCTAAATTTCAGGACAGTAGGTATAGTCTAAAGCAAAGTAAGAAAATAGTTCCTGTCGATATTTACTGATATCAAGTTTTCATTCAGGGGTACTTATGGCATGAATACAAGAAACCTGTACAGCCTCACTTCCCACTCCCCCTCCTCTGATACTAATCTGAAGACACACTTTGCACTTGTGTACATCGTGGCTTTTCTAAAGCCTTCCTTCTTCACTGCATTTCCTGGATCTTAATGAGTCTCACACAAATTCAGTAATAACAAATATACAGTTGTTACATCAGCTAAGAATAAACATGTAAAAATTCAGCCACTGGGGTCTGAGATCATTTGAGCATCGCCTTTTTGTCTCCCACAACTATTTAATTTCAATTTACTCAACTATTTATTTCAATTACTCATTTCTTAAGAAGCACGTTGAATTATCTTAAATAACCACACTAAAGATGAAGAGATAGGTTACCATAATGTCTGTAGATACACGCTGTCCACATAATTGAAAACAGGAGCTGCTAAAGAAGCCGCCACCAAAATCAGCTGAACCGCTGTGTTCATCTGGTAAAAGCAAAACAAGCGTGGCCAAAATGAAGTGTATTGCACAAGGAATGCCAATATACAGTTCTGTTACTTGTTTAAATATTAGTCTGTGTACTACTAAAAAAAAAAAAAAATTAGAAAAAATATTTTAAAACTTCTTTCAACAAAACATCTCCTACGCTTGAAACCAGCCAATGTCCTGATTGGTTTTCATGATGAAAACCTTTCAGGATTTCAGCTGCCTCCAAGTCAGCTGGCACTATCTCGACACTGGACCCAGTAGTACCCACTGTACCCAGCCTCATCCCCTCAAACTACACACTGCCCCAACTAAGGAGAAACTTTATAATATGTTACTACTCTTACCTTGCTAATGAACGTTGGTTTTAGTTGGGCTGTAGCATAACAGGGATTAAAATACCTACTGAGTGTTCTCTGTTGGGAGAGGAAAGGGAAAAATAAATGCAGTTCTAACATATTCAGTTTGATATACATCTTCACATGATACACAACAAAAAAGCAATTACAGTACAAGAGAATTACACTACTACTGCCCTGAGATGAACTATTAGCCATCGTACAGAAGCAAGAGAAAAAGTTACCAGTAACTCTGGCTCATCTTACTCAAACTTATTCTACAAAACACTGTCCTGTTCACAAACCCAGCACAATAAGCACTGGGCTATCCACCCAAGTTTAGGGCAACCATCAGGATTAGAGGAAAATCTCTTGGTTACAACTTGTTACACGCTTATTCTTTATATATACACGTAATAGCATATAAAAAGATTCAGTCATACTAAAAAACGATGACATGTTCACAACATTTGGTTTGATCTTACACACTCACCGGTGGAGAAAGAGTTTTGTATCGCACGTAAAAAACAGCAGCAATGAGCGCTACATCTCTCAGAATGATCATGGAAGTAAGTGAAACTGAAAAACCAAGCCAACAGGATCTAGTGAAAAACCACGTCCAAGATTAAGAAGAAAGCATGATAAAAAAGAACACAAAACATGAAGCAGGAAATAAGCACTGCCAACTTCTGAAACAGTTTTAGGCACAACCAAAGATGTTTAACATGACTTCTGAAAAGGTTTCATCTGATGGCTTTAACCTGTCTAGGAAATCTTACATGTTTGGATGTAACAGCTGGCTTTGAAGAAAGTAGCAGCAGTGTGTTCTATCTGGGCTGGAGGGAGCTGGGTTTTGTTTGAGTATTCAAAAGCAACAGATTGCAAAGCACAGCTGGCAAGCTGCTAAGAGCTAAACATGGTTTTCCTTCCAGAAACAGAAGAAATATTAACTTACAGAAGAAATATTAACTTTTAGTACAGCGCATGCAAGCAATGACATTTTCTCACCTGGGATAAGGTTTGTACAAGTTAGGCTCACATAGAGCACACTGATGAGAATTTTATCAGCCAGTGGATCGAGAGCACTTCCCAATGCTGATTTCTGATTAGCCCAATTGCGCGCAATGAACCCATCCAACTAGAAAGAACAACATTCAGGAATATTGTGTTAAAAAGCAAAGAATAAAAACAGGTGTCATATGCTGCTGTTACAGCGAGGTTTCATGAACATCAACGCAACCCAGCTGTGTATCTATGAGGAAGCCTGTCAGCAGGTCCTTGCATCCCTCCCACCCCCACTCGCATTGCATTCTAGATACTGGAAGTCTTTAAACACTTTCAGTTCTGAATATTTAAAACAAACAAACAAAAAGCCCACAAGCAAACAAACAATTGCTACAACTGACGTTTGAAAAGGCACATCTGAAATTCACCAAGCATTGCTTTGGCGGGTGCACTGTGCACACCTGCCAACACCAGCACACCTCCAATACACGAGCATAGCGGCAATGCCCATTTGGGGTGGTCAGCACTACATCCCCACGAGGGACGTAGGATGCTACAAAGCAACAAATGTAAGACGACAAACTTCATCTCCTCCTACAGAGTATAATTTCCATGTGAGACAGATTCTAAACTCCAACGCACATCGATGGGATCATAGCAACCCACACTGTACACCCCCAAAGTATTTCCAAACTCATGTCAACATACCAAATCCGTTACGCCAGCCAAAACAAAGACACCTAGTGCAACATTGAAATTTTCTTCAACAATCAAATAGCCTAGAACTGGCGCCAATCCCATCCTTGCCATTGACAGTATGTTTGGGATCGTCCACGGGTTTTCATACTGCAAAGTAAGAAAGCAAACACTTCAGGCCGGGAAGGCGGACCGCGGCGTCAATGGGCGCACAGCCGTGGCAGGCAGAAGCCGCGCCCGCCTGGGAAGCGCCCCGCTGTCGGAGCAGGGCGGCACAACTCGGCGCTCAGGTGCCCGCCTCGGCCCGCACTTCGCCCCCAGGGGAGCACGCCGTGCGCCGCCGGCTCTAAGGTGTGCGGCACACCTGTTGCGGCAGGCCGCGGCTCCGCGCTACAATGCAGGCGCTCCGGCGGCCGGTCGGCGGGACGGCCCGGTGCACCGAAAGCGGCCCCGACCTCGCGCGGCCGCCGCGCTCGGCCCTCCCGCCCCCGGCCCCGCTCCCGCGGCTCGCGTACCGGCTCGGCGTAGCGCCCGGCCACGCTCCGCTCCCGAGGTGGCTCCGGAGGCGCGGCCCCGCCGCTCCCCGCCCGCCGCGGCCCGGCCCCGCCGCCGAGGGGGCTCCAGAGGGGCGCGCGCAGCGGCCGCCGGGGCGCGCGCAGGGCGAGGGCAGCGCGCGCCCCCCCGGCCAGGCAGAACGCGCCGCCGTTGCCGTGGCGACGGTCCCCCGCCTCGGCCCGGCCGGATGGAGGCCCGGCCCCGCCGCACGGCCGCCTCCGCCCCGCGCCGCGGAGCGGCCCCCAGAACCCCCTGCCCAGCCAAGCGGCGGCCAGCATGCTGCGAGGCGCCCGCCCGCCGCCCCCTACGCGCTCTGCGGCCCCGCCTGCCGGAGCGAGCGGCCGTCCGACGCCGCCATCCGTCTCCCCGACAGAGCGACAGGGACTCCGGGACAGTGGACGAGCCGCGGGCTGCGCCCGTGCAGCGCGAGGGGGGGCGGGGCGACGCTTTGCGACGCTTTACGACAGCGCCCTCGGCGGCGGGCCGCGCGCTTTACGGCGGGCTTAGCGCTCCCCCCCCGGGCGCAGAGCGGCCCGCCCCGGGCAGCCGCTACGTGTAGCCGTGTAGCGTGGCGCTCCTCGCTCCTCCCCGCAGAACGGGAGTTGTGCGACTTGAGGAGCGGGAAACGGCCACCTCGGGCACCCTACCTCATGTGTTCCTTCACGAGTCTTTGAAGGAAGAAGTGGATGGTTTGCTTTGCCGTAAGGCTTCTCAGAGAGCAAAGAGACTCTCGTGCTCAGTACTTGGCCTCTCGCTCCTCTCAGTCGTGTTTGCTTTGGCTCTAGGAAGGGTAAGAGTTGGCCTCTCCAGCTGCAGTAACTGACTCGTTCTTAGCCCCTGCCCTTGCCATTCAGTGCTATTAAGTAGCTACAAGTTTGCACTCCAGTTCCTGGCAGTGCTGCAGACTCCGGTCAAGGTGTGACCCGTCTGTTCCATCCACTGACTACAGATGGTAGTCTGTAACCGGCAAGAGAAATGAGAGAAAGAAACCAAACCAACAAAAAACACCATTCACGTGTGTGTTTGGTAACTCTACCTTTCCCCCCTGTGAAAGGCAGTTAAAAAGGAATAGGGGAATTCTGTGTGACCTTAAGAATTTACTACTTCTCTTGGCACACCAAGTAGAGGTGGTAGCTTCTAATCGTTTGCACAAAGATGGGAGTGAAAGAACATTACCACCTCCAGGTAAAGAGCACGTTCTGAAGTGTGCAGAGAACACAAAATGGGGAGGGGTGGAGACACACTGAGGGAATCCAGCAGATTGGGGCCAGGAGCTGCCAGAAACCTCATCGCAAAGAGGGAAAGGGTAAAGTCCTGCAACTGGGGAGGAACGGCCCCAGGTAGGAGCACAGGGGGGCACACAACTGGAAGTACCTCTGCAGTGAAGGAACTCCACAAAGCAGGGGGAGGTGAGGCAGAACCCCACATGTGAATTTCCAGTGCTGTGTTTTATTTATCTCTTACACAACGCTGCCCTCGGACAGATTGTGCAAGGGTGGGATGGAGTGAGGGGAAGGAAGACAAAAATAAATCACTTAATGGAAAAGGTGAAAGACTAAAGCTAATATTCTTATAGTTTATACAGCTTACCATTTAGAATTAGAAAGGGAGAAAAACAATTCTATTGTTTTTAAAATCCTTACACAAAGCTTCTCATCTGCTATGTTTCTGTATTAGGGCATGCTCCGTTTCACAAAATCAGACAGACAGCCTTCTGTGGTAGAACAGTAAAAAGAAGACATACATAGTATGTAACATGAATGTGCTCTGTAACTGCTGTTAACATTCACACAAGTGTTCGCTATTAATATTACTCCCATATATTATGTTTAATGAGAAATAAAAAGATAATTTCCATTTTACACATTAAGCATTGTAATGAGGAGACTTTCATAAATTAAACTTGCATTTCAAATAAAACCTATTAGGAAGACCAATAAATAAAGAGTTGCAAATCAGAAATGTAAATCCTTCCAGCTATACAGCTGCAGAGGTGACTTTCTCAACATGAACGTTCCCAAATTTTTAGAAACATTTCTATACATTAAACACCTCAAATGAACTGCAGTGCTAAAAACACAACTCGCACTGCCTTCTCACCGAAGATTTCGGTTTTAAACTTTGTGAGTCCAACAATCATTTTAAATTTAGAACTGAAATTTGTTGTTACGATCATTTGGGCGAGCAGCCTTACAGGATGAGTCAAGCAGCAGTACCACAGAGCAGTGTGTCTTACATTAGCTTCTAGCAAGCCTGCTGGCATTACCAATGTTTGAGCACGAACTTCCAGTAAACAACAGGGGCAAGAGGTGCTCCTGGAGCAGGCTGCAAGTCAGGGCACTTTATTGCTGCATGTTCATCAGTCCATTCCAGATACAGTAATTATGTCTCAAAGTTTATTGCAGCAGCTCTTCTCACATAGTCTGAAGCTGATAAAGTCTCGAGCCTTTTTTCAAGAGATAACCCTGATCGTTCAGGGATTCAATAAAGCTCTCAAAATCAAATACCTGCAGTTGGAAAAAGAGGGGCGGGGGGGAGAGGGAAAGGGGAGAGAAAAAAGGTAAATGCCAAACTGGAAAAAATAAATTCCATCTGATAAAAAGCAACACAAATGATTTAAAAGAATTGTAGTATTTGTGCATTACTTAGTGAATTGAATCAAGCTAGAACGGAGTTAAGTTTCCTTCACAAAGCAATGACCTACAAGCAGGTAATACAGCATCAGTTACACCCTTTGGTGCTTTGCTTGTACACCATTCACAAATGCACACAAAGTATGCAGAGTAGCATATGTATAAAACCAAGTTCTGAACACAAATACTGAAGAAAGGTCTATTTTCTACAGCTCTCACTGATTTCCAAGTATTTATAATGTATCTTTTGCCCATTCAATATTCTGTATGAAATATATGAAGGCAAAATTAGAATTCATTTAGCTACAAGTAACTAGTTGCTGAATAAATGAATGGCCTTGTGAGAAGGGAGAGGGCAACAACATACTCTGCCAGATGGGATTCACATTAAATCTAGTCTTGCTTATAGTCAGCATTTGGACAAGTTTGGAGATGGAAGTCATCTTGTCCCAGCAGGACAGGGTGTGTTAACCAGGTGCCCACATTAAGTTCCATGCAAAGAAACTAGCTGTCTCCACTTTCTCTCTTATTATGCCTGAAATCCAGTTTCAAGTTTTACATTGGAATTTAAAGCTTTTCACATTAAGCAAAAAGGTAAATTAACTGTTAACATTTTTGTTTGGCAACCCAGCCCACCTCTCAAGTACAGAATGTAAACTGTTACAGGATAAAACACACTTGTGGCCATATGATGTTCCCACTATGGTATAGCATGAAGATGCTCAAAGCAGGAATGAAAACCCAAAAGTCACATGTCAGCCACTGAAGGCCAAGCAGAAAGCTCACTGCACAGACAGAGCAGACACCACAACAGTCTAAATAAATACATTAAGTAATTCTGACTGCTTTTATACTTGTTAAAGAAATGTTTGATTTCCAAACTTACTCGTATTTGTAGCTCCTTTGCAACCTGTCGAAGTTGTTGCAAATCAAAGAGATTGTTGTAAGTTCTTTCTGCAACGTTGTTAAGGGCAGAAACAAATCTTTTTGCTTGTGACCGATTGCTCATCCCAGACCCATGCTGTGAACGTTCAAAGTCCAGTTTTCCAAACTCATCCGAGTATGTTCCCAGCATGCTAAGATAAACACATCAAAAGAAATGGGATGTAAAAGGAAAAATGCATGAACTTCCTTCCTGAAACATCACCACTTAAGTTTTCAGAAGACAGATAGTGACTGATTCCTAGGGGATGGTTTCCTATCAAGGGAACATAGAAAAAGCATCTGTCCAAGTCACTTTTGAACTTAATTTGTTCAACAGCAACAACAGAGAGTGGTCACACCAGAGGAAGATCTTTGGCAGCATTTCAATTACTGTGGACTGATATTAATAACTGCTGCAGTGATACAACTCAAAGGTCTAAGTGGCAGTATTCAACCGAGGGCTGCCATCAGTTTTTAAACAGGAATTAAAAACTCTCAATGCTGGTTCTGGGGGCCTAAGTTTGCTAAAGTCATTTCTTCACTGTGTTTGTATGTCTATTTTAGAAAGTGAATGAGTAGCAACACAGTGTTTTAGTTTAAAAGCACTGCATATTACCTGTATTTCATTATTTCTATTACGTCCTCAGCATCTTCCTTGGTACACTTCTCCCTTAATTCCAGCCTTGATCGTGCCTTAAAACAAAGTATATCAGAAAGGTATGTTTAAGATATCACACCTGATGAGGGAAAAAGCTGCAGACCTGCCCCACATGATGCTACAATAAGCACAATTTTTAGGAGCACGAAGACGGAATCTGAGCCTGGAGAATAGAGATGACAAGACCTCTATTTTGATAGCATTTCAACATCATCCCTTTCATACACATGATATCAAGATGCAGGTTGCAGTTTTTAAACAGCTTATTCTCAGGAAATAATACATCACAAATAATGTTATTAAGATACAGTGTTAGATAAGACAGTAACAATTCAAGATGGGCAGCAGCAGTTTGTCCTTGCCAGCACCTTTCTTGCCTTTTAGGAGCTAGATAGGTTTTACTTCTAGCTCCTTAAGGATGTTTTATTTCATAAGAGGCTTTTAGCAACAATAGCTTTTAAAGCATTTCTAAGACTCTCACCATCTTAAAAAAAAAAACACCACGAAACCCCCCCCACAAAGGATAACTCAGCACTATCAGTATCACACAGGAACAACGTCTTTGTCTTCAATCCTCCAAGTATGAAAGCTTGAATTTACCTCCGTGAGTCGAATCAGCGACTCCAGCTGCCTCGTGGTGATCGGCGTGCTGCTTGCTGCCTGGTTCTGCTTCCGAAGCTCCAGGTAGAACTCCTGAAGGACCTGAGCAGCTTCTGGAGATAAATGGGGGTGAACGTACTGGCGAGCATAACCCACGTACTTCCTCAGCAGCTGATGTGGAATGGCATCAAAGTTTTCTCCTGGTGAGATCTAACCCAATTACAAACAAGGGCCTTAGATTTCTGATCTTTCATCGCAACCTTATAGAACACAACCCAGTTTTTAAACGAACTTTTCATCTCCTATGCTTTATGTGGTGACAACTTTCTGAAGCTCTGAATGCGTACTGGAAGGGCTTTGATTCTACATACATAAGCTGTGTTCTTTTAAAGTCAATGCACCACATTTAGACACGTTATTAAACACACCTGGCCAGTTCACAAAAAGCAGAAGTTTGTAATCTGCGCTCCTTAGTGTCAAATACAAATAAACCTTATGCAGAAATCTTTTTCAAAAAGAGAAAATCCAATTTCCTTCTTGTTACAAGATACATCACTACAGAAGGTTAAGCTGTCACTCCTGACATCTCATTTTGAAGAGTGCAGGGGGCAGGAGTTTGTTTTTCCAAAAACTGTGCATTTGCAGCATCAGCACTTCTGACCACATTTAATAAAAAAAAAAGTTTTCCTCCTATAATCCTCAGTCTTCCTTGGTTTGCAAACATCCAAGTGTTTGCTTTCACACTGCTTTACCTGCATTCAGTATTTCAAAGCATATCATGTTAAAAAAGATTACTATACCAGTCTAGTTCTGTAGCTCCTTACTGAAATCAGCAAGTTTGGTTTAGAGCATTTTCATGCAAAATACCTTCCCATTACCCACAATAAAAAACAATAATAATAACAAAGCAGCCCAGCTGATAAATTCTCTTCTGTATGAGTTGACACAATTTTAGCAACTCCAGCATAGATAGATGATGCTAGCTACAACAGGTAAGTTGTAGAAACCAGAGATTTCAATACTTTTTATTTAATTCAGAGCCACTTCTCATGAGAAGAGTAGGAGACTGAAGACATCTAGCAAGTCAGGGCTGCCAGGCCCCCGGCAAAGAACACCACAGGAACAGAGACAGCAAGAGGCCCAGGAGGGAGCTACCTTCAGTCTTTCAAGCAGAGGCCGATCAGAAACAAGTTGAAGAACAGAGCGATCC